GGCCTACCTCCTAATACATTGGGGGTTAGGATTTCAACATACAAATTTTGGGAAGAAACAAACATTCAATTCACAGCAGGCAGTTACTCTTGTTTGAAGCTAGACCCTAGACAGTGCTGTCTGGCATTTGGAAAGGAGGACGGAGACTGGGAAAGGAAATTCACATAAATTAGTAAACTTCTAGGATTCCAATCCTGGTACATAGTTGGGATGCAGAGCAGGAATCAGGTATGAGGACAGAGCACCTGGGGCAGGATAATATGAAGACTGTAGCCATTTGGGCATGAGGGAGGCTACTGGATTATCCAAGAACACTGCAGCCAGGACTTGGGGTGGCAAGACTCATTCTGGTCCACCTCCTGGTGGGGACTGAACTCCTAGTATATTGTCAATCTGGGTCAATTTGGTTTAGAAATCAGGAATAATTGAGCTGCCGGGCTGAAAGACTTAGTAGTTGTAGTTATGTAGGGCTGGGAAGGTAGGAAATGATAAATCCCAAACCCTTTGGAGCGGTGAGATCCCACCACAATCTACTGAATTTTGTGACCCATATAACTGTTGTATGCCATATGTCTATATAGAATAATTAAAGCTAATTAGAATTAATTGTGGTTGGTGAGTGTTTGAAGAGTTTCATAATAACTCTAGAGATAATTAGAGATACTTTGGGATGTCACAAAAGAAGCATTTGGAATAATTTGACTAGATGTTTAAGCCAGCGTTGTGCACTGAAGGCTAGTAACAGAAGGACAATTCTATAGTTGCAAGAACACTGAATCAGGAAGTAAGAGTTTGGGGTTAAAATCAGTATGCTGCTAAACAGGTTCTCTGAAAAAAACCAACAACCCACCAACAACCTCGCTTTGTAGCATTTGCCAATTTCTGTGGTGTAAATACTCCCACCATGGTGGATTTCAAGTTTTCCATGGTTTAACAACTGGCTCACATAATTCCTGAATATTTAATAATCAGCTCTTATTAACCTTGTGCAAGGCAGCTAGAGCACACCAGTGTAATTTTCACTGGACTTCCAGTTAACTTTGTGATCTTGGGTAAGTCATTTCACTTCTTTGGATCTTGGTTTTATCATCAAAAAAGCAAAGTTGCTAAAATAACCTCTAAGGTCCTTTTCAAAGTTGACATTCCGATAATGCAGCTGGTGTTATAGGGCAAGACTAATGTCACATTATATGCCAAAAGAGTGACATCAAGAACTTTTATGAATGTTATTGTGATATATCAGAACATATAATTTGATATCAAGTCAGTGTAATCATCACCCACGTTCTGATTCCTGCTGTCGATGTGTGTGTCCTTCTCTAGTTCCTCTTTCCAGAAGGATTAAAAACAACAGTGCAGCCATTAGAGAGCCAAACTTCACAGACCAAGAGTGAGGTAAGAAACCATTAACGGCTGGGCACGGTGGCTCATGCCTGTAATCTCAGCACTTTGGGAGGCTGAGGCGGGTGGATCACAAGGTCAGGAGTTTGAGACCAGCCTGGCCAACATGATGAAACCCCGTCTTTACTAAAAATACAAAAATTAGCCAGGCGTGGTGGCACGTGCCTGTAATCCCAGCTACTTGGGAGGCTGAGGCAGGAGAATTGCTTAAACCCGGGAGGTGGAGGTTGCAGTGAGCCGAGATTGCGCCACTGCACTACAGCCTGGGTGACAGAGGAAGACTCTGTCTTGGGAAAAAAAAAAAAATAAACCATTAGCTGCAGTCAGAGAATTCTACACTCAGTTGCTGGGTTCTAGAGTCAGCTGAGGGGCTGAGAGAAAATCCTGTAGCTTAGATACATGACCCTATACGACCATGAGACCCAAGAGGGTGGTTTTCCCTGGACTAGTAATGACAGATATGAGAGACTAATTTGTGTCTTTTATATTTATGTGTGTCAAATCCTGGCCCTTAATAGGAACACAGTAAGTATTTGTTGAGAGAAAGAATAAACCATTTGGGATTTTTTAAAATTCAGAATTTTAAAATATTAATTCAGAAGTAGTCATGTGTTTCTCCGTGTTTACCTTGATATTGCAGAAGAAATGTGTATTTCAAGCGCGAGAAACTACTTTCTTGTTATAATGGAAAACTTTTTAGTGCCTTCAGTTCAATATTGGGGATATAAATCTGCCTTCTAGCTAGATAACAGAATGTATTACACAACCAGAGCCCAATGGAGAGAAACATACATGAGAAAAACCCACACTGGGCAAACCAGGTGTTTACTCCCACCAGCAAACATGTCCCCTTCCCCATGCACCTCAACCAGTGGAATTAACTCCTCTCTTTGGAAAGGAAAAGATAATATTGATCTGCAGGGCATACTTACCTATATATCATGTGATGCTTTACCAACATTTCATCCTCGTAATGACCCTCATAAGCTAAGCATTGCCATTCCCATTTTAAAGAAAAAGAAACTAAAACTCAGAGAGGTTAAGTAACAGAACCAGCTAGTGGAAGAGCTCCGGGTTAACACCCCAAAGGTGGTGCTTTTCGCGCCAGACCCGGCTACCTCGGGGCTTCTGGACTTCCTCTTCCTGATGTCTCTCTTCCCTGATTGCTGTGGGAATTTGAATGATTTCTCATGTGAGTGAACCTGGCTCAGTCCATGCTCAGGCAAACAGAAGCGCCAGTCTCTGACAGCGTTCAGAGCAAATTCTTCAAGTCAGGCGGGTCCCGGACTGCAGTATCTGGGCTGTACTTTGCCCTAATGAATCAGCTCCATGGAGGCTGGACAGTTGCAAAGGTAACTGACATGCTGTAGATCTGAGGGCCCGGTGAGTCGTGGTAGATGTGGCACCTGGACTTTGACAGTCTCCAAGAGGAGAGGGGGCACTCTTAGGCCAGGTCCCTGGAGCAGCGCTGAAGGAAGGTGGGAGGCCATCAGAGCAGGTGTGTGGAAACACTTGCTCCCTTCTTTCCCTTCTTTGAGCTGGACGTGCTGTGCCGTCAGATTAGGAAAGGCGAGATGGCCTTTACCGGGGCGAGGAAAGGTCATTTATGTGAATGTGTGAGTGTGATTTGTCATCATAGATGTAATTCCTTCATTTTGAGAATCGAAGGTGCTATTTATTTGGTGTCCTTAATCTGAGGACTGATTTGCTGGAGTTGATGTCTCTTGGCAGCAAAATGATGTGATTTCAGTGGAAAGATTGGGTGTTGCACCTTTGCATTTGGGGAAGGGCTGCCTAGTGAGACTATCTGGGGACAAGGAGAAAGCAGGTTTCTTCTCATTCCGCTTACTTGGTCCAAATGGTTTTGAGTTCCACCAGCCTTCAGAAAAGGCTCATGTACCCTTCCTTGTGTCTGGGACATTTGGCCTTTCCTGGGATTTGCTGGCAAAGGCTGTCATTGCACCTGGCTTTTTCAAGGCAGTGAGCTGACATGGGAAGGAAGCCACAGGTTCCCCTGAGTTGTGAGTGACCTTGAGGTGGGAGGCCCCCTCTGCACCTTGCTCTTCTTGTGTGTTCTGCTGTCTCATAGCTCTTGGCTCATAGCTGTCGACCCTGGCTCCCTGGTGTTTGAGCAGAGTGACGTCTCGATTTCAACACCCACCCTTTTGACCTTTTGTTCTGATATGAATTTTTATGTGAGGCTGGGACCTTTAGTAGTGGAAGCAAGTTAACTGATTTGATCAGAATCTTGCAACCTAAAACAGTTCCTAAGGAAGAAAAAATCGAGGCCGACCTAGGCTGTGGATGCTCCTGACACAAGAGAATCCTGAGCAAGAGTAAGATCTGAGGCGTGCTTTCCTTTGGCGGGTGCAACCCCTGCCCCCCACCACCCCGTGCTATGAGCAGAGGAACCTGGAAGGTAATCAGTCCTTGGAGCAATTTTCCTTTTTCAGGAATACCTGGGGACTTGGGGGAAAATTAGTTTGATGCTAGGGAGACTTCCAGGATTTAAAATCTCCAGCCAGGAAGAATCCTGAGACATGGCC